TTCAGAAACTAGTCAGCTGGTGCATTAAGCGGTTGATATGACAAATATGGATCCTATAACAAATATGGATCGTTAAGGTTTTTTTAATTGAACTGAATTAAACGTTGCTTTTATTCCCTGATCATTAATTTTAATTTTCAAGATTTTTGAAGTTAGACTTAAGTAGTGAGATGTCTGTTGTTAATTCCTCCGTTATCTAACGTTACAAACACCTTTCAAAATCTGGAATTGAAATTAGTAAATTAAAAGGTTGTGTGAATGTGCCAAAAAATATAGGTATACAAAGTGATAAATATATAAGGTGCGTGTGTGTATATATATGTTACATATATATATATACACACACACACACGATACATATATTATGTATATACATATATATATATATATATATATATATATATATATATATATATATATATATATATATATATATATATATATATATATATATAAATGTATATATATATATATATATATATATATATATATATATATATATATATATATATATATATATATATATATATATATATATATATATATATATATATATATATATATATATATATATATATATATATATATATATATATATATATATATATATATATTGAACTTAAGACATTACAGAGAAATATAAACTGACAAAAAATTTGTTGTAAATTTTTTGTCAGTTAGCATTATATTATATTTACTAATTATGTATAAATTGTGCAAAACAAATTTAAAGTCACCCGAAATGACTGTATGATGTTTTTTATATAGTTAATATATTAAAATTTGTTAACATATTAAATTTTGTTAATATGTTAAGTTTTAAAAAGTAATTTACATTTTAGACTCAGTTACACGATGTTCAAAAATTGCATTAAATTTTGTAAAGAAAATTCACTTGAAGCCAAATATTTCTTTGATGAAAATAAGTTTACGGTATACAGACTTGTTAAGTTTATTAATCAAGATAAATCAGTGGATGAACGAATAAGTCGAACTTATAATATGGAAACAGACACTAAAAAAAACAAATGCTGTTTTAAAAAAATACGTTAAAATACGCAAAAGTATGTAAAAATTACATTTTTATTCGATCGGATGCGGACGTTGCGTGAATATTATTTTGACGTCTTTGTTTATGTCTTGCCGATGAGCAGCCACTGATTAGCAATATGTAAAAATTACATCTTTATTTGACCGGGTGCGGACGTCGCGCCAATGCCCTTTTATAATACTTTCCGTTTTCTTAACTTTAATTTGTTCAAAGTATAGGACGAAAAACAGTCCAAAGTATAAAACAACTTAAGCAGAGGCAATTCTAGAAAAAAAAGAGGGGTGGCAAATCCTTATAAAAAAAATAAAAATAATCATCAAAACTAAAAATCACCTAACTAAAAGGTGTCAAGTGCCCAACTAACCAAGTGTCATGTAACCGACTATATTCCTTAAAGTACCAACTATAACTTGAAAATTTCTTTTATTATACTTGATTAAAAAGCTAATGGTCCGAAAAAATATAAACCTAAAGATTGTTCATCTGTTTTAGAAAATTTGTTCCAACAACATATTTTTTTACCAAAAAATTTAGAAATTCAATCATTGTGTGGTGAAAGTATTTTTTCTTAAATTAGAAATACATCTTAACACATTAAGACCTTCAAATGTCAGTAATTATCGACCAATATCTATCCTCTCTGTTTTTTCAAAAATTTTAGAGAGAATTATGTTCAACCAAATATCTAATCATCTTGCTGTTAATAATATACTTTACATAAATCAATATGGTTTTAAAAGAAATAACTCTACTAAACATGCAATAATTCATTTTACTTGTAATATAACTGATTCATTCGAAAAGTCATAGTTTACTTTGGGCGTCTTTATAGACTTATTTAAGGCTTTTGGCACAATTGACCATGAGATACTGTATAAAAAACTTGAACATTATGGTATCAGCGGTAATGTTTTAAAACTACTAAAAAGCTGTTTAAAACATCTTAAACAATTTGTTTATGTCGACGGATCTTCTTCACAAAATTATCTAAATACAACTTTTGGAGTTCCACATAGATCTATACTAAGGCCTTTATTATTTCTAAATTATGTTAACGATCTCCATGAAGTCTCAAAATTAACATCTACAATGTTTGCTGATGATACAAACCTATTCCTATCTAATAATAACATCAATAAAATTTTTTATGATATGAACATTAAAAACTAACAAAAATATCTGACTGGTTTAAGTCAAATAAACTTTTACTCAACATTGATAAAACTAAATGGATTTTCTTTCATCCACGATTTAAAAAACATTTACTTCCAAGTAATATGCCTCTTCTTCATATTGATAATATTTAAATAAAGAGTAATTTTCACAAATTTTCTAGGTATTATTGTAGATGAAAATTTATCGTGGAAGAATCACATCGGATATTTATGCAACAAAATTGCAAAAAGCATTGAAGTTTTATATAAAGCAAGAAGCGTTTTAAACAAACATTCATTAACACAACTATATTACTCTTTTATACACTGTCATATTAATTATGCTAATATTGCATGGGGTAGTACCCATAAAAATAAATTAAAGCCACTTTATTGTCAGCAGAAGCATATTGCACGTCTTATAAATTTCAAAAATCGTTTTACTCACTCAAGGCCACTCTTATTTAACATGAATGTTTTTAATTTGTATCAAGTAAATGTTTATAATGTTCTTTGTTTTATGTTAAAATGTAAAACCAACTCATCTCCAGCTTCCTTTTTTGATTTATATTCTTTAAAAAAATATATATATATTCTTTAAGAAATGATAATTTTATTAAACAACCAAAATTTCAAACAAACTTTGGTAAATTTTGCATTTCTTTTTGTGGAACTTTTTTATGGAATCAAATAATTTTAAAAAATTTTGATTTTTCTCATGAATGGAATTATTACATGTTCAAAAAAAAATTAAAAAAAGTAATTTTGTCAATTGAAAATATATTTATATACTTTTAATTATAAAAATACTTTATAATTAAAAGTATTTTTATAATTAAATATTAATTGTATTTTACTTTTATACAATATTGATTTAACTTTTATGTGAGAAACTATATTTAAACGCCATTATTTGAATTTTGTTAAAAGTTGCACTGACATTATTTGTACTGTAGTCTATTATTATTTACATGTTTACTTTAATTTTTATTTTAATTCGTAATATTTGTAAATAATTTGTATTACGAACGGTATATACTTTTAATATTGAATTTAATATTGTAATAAAAAATAAATAAATAAAATGTATATATATTATTATATAAAAAAAAAAAAATTGATGTATGTGAATGGATGTATCTGCAAATATTGTATGTATGATACCTCTGGAAGTTAACCATCCTTTGACAGTGGTTTAGTTCTTTTGTCGGTGGAAGCGTAAACGTAAACGCACCAACAATTAAAAATTTTGGCTTCACACACAGAGACACCATTATTAGGCTTTCTAAACCTTTCTACATAATCTTTTGGACAACCTTGAAATGCATTTGGATGTACCTAGTGCAGTCATATTCTTATTATTTTCGCTTATTTATTAATTAATTAACAATTAAGATTAGTGTAATTGTAAAATACATTTGAGTAACAAGATTCAGTGATCGTATAAATACGAGTAAGATGCGAGACGTTTATCAAGAATATGATGATATTATTGTTTTCACTTGAGTCAGGCGATTCAGAAGAATTAGTATTTTAATTCAAGCCATAAAGACCATAACTGAAGAAAAGTTTAAAATTTGTATTTAGTTTTTTTTGTTTTTTCTAAAATCTAAACTAAGTTCAAAGTTCTTCAACAGCGGTTCTCGGTAACAAGATCTGTATGGTCTTCTTTGAGTATCCGCGTTCTTTATCTTTATTTTTATTTTGTTAACAGTTTCTTTGCATGTAATTTTTCTTATTGATTTATTTGTAAATATTGCATTAAATATTGTAATAAAGAACAACAACAAAAAAAAGACTTATATGAAAATGCAGTATATACCCTCCTTTCCTTCTTTGGTAGGGCAAGGAGGTTTGCCACCTACCTCCTTCAATCCCCATAAAACTACCCCTGAACTCATGTGTCATCAGAAAAACAACACAAAAAACTATTGATACGTTAAATATACAAATAATTTAATGCAAATAGGTACGCAAGTACAAAAAAGATAACTGCAAAATTTGTTATTAAAAAAATAATAAAAAGCTCTTTGTAGAAGTTCTCTTCAGCGATATTTTTTTTCCGTTTCTATTTGGTTAAAAGTTTTTGCGTCAAAACAAAACAAATCTGTAATAAGGATCATTATTGATTTTGGTATCAAAAAATACACATATCGCGACGTTAGAATTATCTTGTTCTATCTCCACTTTTTGAAATATTGAGTTAATGATAGTGCTGTGTTCCTCAAAATAATGTCTTTTTACTGAATTGAAACCTAAGTTATAAGTAAAAAAGTCACGGAAAAAGCATAAATTATAAAAGAAAATTTATACGCCGTCTCCTAAAGTTTTTCTTTTTTAAATTGTTTTATCTCAAAACTAAAAAATGTGGAGATGGAACAAGATAATTCTAACGTCGCGATATGCTATGTAAACCTGTAGTAAATACTACGTTTAATTCATTTCATAGTTGGGTTAAATTTTTTAAATTTTTATAGAAATATTGGAGAACTATTTCATTATTTCAGAGAGAAATGCTAAAATTAGTCAAAATCTGACCCAGCGGGCATTTGTTTTTAAAAGATACGTTCTAAATGTCTTTTAAATATCTTTTATACGTCTTCTAAACATTCTTACGTAAAGAACGTTTAAAAGACGTTCAAAAAACGTTTAAAAGACATTTAGAACGTAACTTTTAAAAACAGATGCCCGAAGGGGAATGGAAATATACACTAAACTATTACACAAATTAACAACAGACGAAACAACAGAAGAAACCTATTCTGCAATGTTATTAGAAAAAAATTTATTCTTACCTTAATTGTGTCGAATTATATTTGTTCTTAAACTGTTAGCTAATGATCCATAAAGTAAAACACATGTAGACATATGTTTATAATATTTAATCTTTTCAAATAAAATATGAAAAGTAAAAGGATCATAGGATGATATAAAAAAGAAAGACAGAAAAATTTAAATGAAAAGTTGACTTTGTGTTGACGTTTTTCAAATTTGCAAACAAAATAAAATTAAAGCTAATAGAAAATATAATCCTTTCAACTTAAAGTACTTAAAAATTTTAAAATATTTGCTGCTATAGTTTTTATTTTTGTATTTATTTTTGTTTTTGTTTTTATGATGTATTTTTTATTTAAAAGCTTTATTCGAAATAAAAAAAAAATCAGAATAAACAAGGTATTGTTGAAAACTAAGACTTAAAATAATTATAAATATAAAATATTTATAGACATAAAATATTTATTGGGTTAAGTACATTAGGAGAAATCATACTAACATTACTTTTTTATTTTTTAAATAAACTAAACGTAATAGGATATCTATTTAAAATATGAGCCTATTTAAAAATTCAGTACAAAATAACATAAGACAACTTTAGCAAAAGAAATAAAATTTTTTTCAAAACATTGAAAACTTTTATATAGATCAGGAGGCATTTATAAAATATACATAAAACAAAATCGTTGAACTTTATCTTAGATAAGTATTTAGTGGGTGCCTCAATAATTATAGAAACCGTTTAATGCTTTTCATAAAATTGCAACAAAAAGTAAAATAATTTTAAATAACAACCCCTTTTACCAAGAATGACATTATGCTTTAAACCAAGAAACATAGAAAAACATAAACAAGATGCAATTTTACCCAGTAGAATCCTTGACATACTTTAACTTTTTGCTTTTTAAAATCTAAAAAAAAATATATAGATCTGGAATATAATGTTAAAATATATAGAAAAACATTACAATGTAGAATTTAAGTATTGCATGTATACATTATATATATGTATATTTATATACACACACACACACACACACACACACACACACACATACATATATATATATATATATATATATATATATATATATATATATATATATATATATATATATATATATATATATATATATATATATATATATATATATATATATATATAGCTAATTTTAAATGCTAATTTTAAATGCAATTAAATATTTTTCCACCTCTCTCTATACCAATTGCCTCTTCTAAACGAGCAAGAATATATAACAGAAATACGGAAACGAAAAACGAACGAGAATATTTAACAGAAAGAGATGGTAGTTTTTTTTTTTGTTAAGTATTCACATATTTACAGGAGTTGATTCATGTTCAAAAACAACATATAAAGGTTTAAAAAAATATAAAGGTTTTTATTTTCTATGTTTTACTTGTCTTTAAAAACTTGGGCTCGTGTATTTAAAAGGTCTCAAAAAATATTAAAGAAAAGTCGTGTTTAAAGACAAGCCATAACTGATATTTTATAATTAAATTCTTAAAGTTTTTACAAAATAAGTATATTAGGTTTACTATTTTTCTTTTTAGTCACCATAGTATCCTTTTTTAATTTTTATTTATACTCTATCTATTACTTTGAATATATTTAATATATATGCGTTATTAATTGTTTATAGTTTTTTAGTATATTTTTATGTACATTTTGATTTTTTTTTTTTGAAATATATAAATGCACATAATTTGATTTTAACAAAATATTATTAAGAACTAAGACAAAATAACTAGGTAATAAGCTTTTTGGTGTGGAAAATTTATAGTAACAATTTCTATCAAATGTTTTTTAAATTCAATCTCATTAGCAGAAAATAAAAGGATACAATAGGATTAAGTTAAAGATTAATAATAAAATTAATTAACTCATGAACATGTATTTTAGATCGCTGTTTTCTCCGGTTTATGCATTATCAAAAATCTTCCTTTTATACCGTTTACCACTTGTCTATTATTGCCTTGTTCTTGTGAAACATCATCTTCCACATTTGTATCGTGATCGTCTACATTCGTATCGTGAACGCCTGATTTCGTAACCTGATTAGTAACCACAAAAAACTAGGGTAAAAAAATTAGCATTTTAAATGCACATTCATAAATAAAAATTGTAATTACACAGAACAACTTTACATATAGAGGTTTTTCTGAATGGAAGTTTTCCAAAATTTCCTGTACCAACCATATTTATTTTCGACATTAAAAAATTAGTAACGTCGCGACATAACATAAGCAGTGATTTTTACAAGCTCTGTTCTACCAATTTTCTTTAGCAAATGTAACTAAATTAAGCTAAAATGTATCTAAAGTAAAAAAATAAATATTTAGTTAATAAACCTCTTGATTATAGCAAAGATGAATATCTACGGTTACAAGCGTTTACAAAATGAATTTAAACTGTTTATAAAACTTAAGAAAAAAGTTCTTGCAGCAGGACTTTCATAACGAGAGACAATCAACTCATATTTTTTTAACATTTAGGAAGGTAGATTGTCATGAAAAGAGCTATAACTTCCAAGAAAATGGCGCACCCGAAACTTGTTTATTTATTTATCAGTCGTTTTGCTTTCAGTTGTTGTCAGAAAGTGAATCTTGGAGTCTAGTTTAATTATTTAGCCAATAAAAATACTTTTTTAATATTTTTTATTTTGTTTAAATTATGCCTTTTTAAACCACGTGACTTAAGCTGTTATGTGAGTCTTCTGACCAATGGCTACAATGTAAACGTTTGATCGACATTTAATAAACGTATATATTAAAAGCATAGATTTTAAATCTATAAATGTTTACCTTTAATTAAGGTCGATTAAAGATTTACAATATTGACTAATGTAAGTCGGTATTCTAAACATTAGATCGGCGTTTAGTAAACGTATATATGTGGGTGGGATTTTCAGCGATATTTGGATAACGCAACTGGTTGTAAGTAAAGTTTTTACTTTAAATATATCTAAACATGTTTAATTTTTGTTTAGTATGACAATCCTACAGATAACAATGATTGTGATGATAATGAAAATGATTCTGATTCAAAATTTGATGAAGAAGTGCTCATATAATTACAAAGTTCTTGCCTAACTTTAAAAAAGCACCAACTCGTTTTGAAATTAGTAACAATGGGACTGATCATTAAGCTACAGAATTACTAATTGCCTCAGGCATAATAAAAATTATTAATTGAGGGAATATCATTTCAGAAAAATCTTTAATAAAATATTTGAAATAGATGTAAAAATTTAGTTGAGCATTGTAAAGAGGTTTTTCAATTAAAAGTTAATAAAGATTTATTGATAAAAAATATCAGGAAAAGCTTGTTCATAAAACTGGTTACAATTTGGATGGCAAACTTATTAAAATGTCTTGAATTAAAAAAAAAAGTTGCATTTACTGCAGAAATTGGAACAAAGGCAAAGAAATATATAACCCATAAAATTATTACGAATGAAACTGGAACTTGTAAAGCAAATGTAACTAAAGAAGTTCTAGAAAAGTTTAACGGCATGGAAACTCTTGAAGCGGTTCTTGATAATAAAAATTCAAATACTGGTGCAGACAATTATCTAGTTGTTAAGCTGTTTAAAGCTATAAATAGAAAATTACATTTAGTTTAGGACGTCAACTCCACCAAAATGAAATATCATTTAAATATGTAATTATTATACTTGATGAAAAAGGGAATGGTCCGAAAAAATATAAACCTATGGTTTGTTCATCTGTTTCAAAAAATTTGTTCCCACAACATTTTTTTTACAAAAAAATTTAGAAATTTAATCATTGTGTGACGAAAGTATTGTTTCTTAAAACAGAAACATATCTTAACACATTAAGACTTAAACGAATAGACTGTATATATAAAGTATAATCTCTATGTATTCTAATGTATATATACAGTATATTCTCTATGTTTTTGCTACAGTATATTCTCTATGTATTCTAATGTATATATACAGTATATTCTCTATGTTTTTGCTACAGTATATTCTCTATCTATTCTAATGTATATATACAGTATATTCTCTATGTTTTTGCTACAGTATATTCTCTATGTATTCTGATGTATATATACAGTATATTCTCTATGTTTTTGCTACAGTATATTCTCTATGTATTCTAATGTATATATACAGTATATTCTCTATGTATAATATGCTGTATATATACTGTATACAGTATATTCTTATACTTTAAATTTTATTTTATATTATTAATATCAAAAAGTTTACAAAAAATTTACAATAAAAAAAATTGAGCATGTTAACTATGCAAGGCACGCGTTACATATTATGTATGAATACATTAAAGAGACAAATAAAAAAAATGATACGTAAGTATACATTTCAGGTGTATTCTTTAATTTAATTTGCTTGAAAGCGTCAGGTCATTTTAAAAAATAACAAAAATTGATTTTAAAATGATTAAGCTGACAAAACTTTAAAATGAAAACGTAGAAGAAGTTGTTTTTAAAAAATTAACTGGAAATTTATATTCTTGTATGCAGATGTTCTGCACGCATGACTGCATCGTTATGAATGAAGTTCTCTACTGCATTATTATGAATGATGAGAAGTTCTCTACTGCATCATTATGAATAATGAGAAGTTCTCTAGTGCATGATTATGAATGATGAGAAAGGAAACCAAAACAAAACTATAGATAAATGTTGGAATGTCACAGAAATAATAACAAAATCAATTATTTTGTTCAATACAAATGATAAATTGATAAATAACAAAATTCTTTAGGTGTTACTTTCTTTAGATTTGCGACGCTTTAATAAAATACTTTTTCCTTTTTAAAAAAAAAAACGAAAAAGTATTTTATTAAAGCCTCAAAATAAAATAATTTATTTGTAAACGGATAATTATTAATTATTGTATAAAAACTTAATTCTTACAAATGAAACAAACTAATTAACATCTCTAGTTCCAGCAACCAAAACTTATTCTTGTTTGACTCTTGATTCAGCAAAGTCAGCAAAGTAAAAATTCAGCATCTTTTAATATTTTACTTTTGCTTTGTTTACACTCTCAACACTTTGTTTAGTTTCTTTCCTTGCATATCAATGCTTCGTAATTCCCTCCCATCTTCATGTTTTTACGACTTGCACTAAAAAATCTGATCTAAAAATTAAAGAAATTTTATTTATCAAGACAATTATACTTTCTGTAATTTTAGTTTGTTTTAGTTTATTTTTTAATACACATTATTTTTAAATAATTACTTAACTCATAGTAAAAACAAAAAAAAACAAAAACTGGCGAAGTGGCAATTTACGATAAAAATGACAGAAGTCATAAATTATTCAGACAATAATTTTCTGTCGTACACCTTTTTATTGAATAATTTTCTGTCATACACCTTTTTATTGAATAATTTTCTGTCGTACACCTTTTTATTGAATAATTAATGTTGTTTATTTTAAACATAAGATTTCAGATATTTATAGATTATGCTATTCTGAGTCTCAGTTTATTGTTGTTGTCTTCAAGTAACCTAAAATTTCTCTTAAACTTAGCCAAAAGAATTGGTAAGTTTCAATACGATAAAAAAATCTACTTGTAAAAATAGTTTTTTTGATTTTGTTAGTTATAAAATTTCTCTTTTAAGTCAAATCATAACAAGTGCTTTTAATAGAGATAATAAAATCTTCTTAAAACTTATGATTGCGTTAATGATTCCCACGTAGTGGGAATCTTTAACGCAATCATAAACCGAGAACTTCTTATAACCCTATTGGATCCCAAGCATCCAGCATTTTTTTTGGTTTTGTGTTCGCTATTAAACGTTTTTAAAAGGGGGTGAGGCTTCACGTTTCACTCAAACATATATATATATATATATATATATATATATATATATATATATATATATATATATATATATATATATATATATATATATATATATATATATATATATATATATATATATATATATATATATATATATATATATATATATATATATATATATATATATATATATATATATATATATATATATATATTTGTGTGTCTATTTAACGGGCCTATTCGATGTTCGACATTATTGATGATGTAATATTCTGCAAACATAAATAAATATAAAATAACATTGCAGTGTTTTTATCGTCATTATTTGGAAAAGTATAGTGTTGTTACGTGAAACATATAATGGGTATAACTTTTATTTAAACAAATATATGCTTTATTTAAATATATATACGCTATATATAAATAAATATATACTAAATAATACAATTAATCGTATAATCTATATAGTGCTAAACTAATCGTTGCTTTTCCTAAATCAACTCTTCTTTATTTTAACTATGTGGCTATAACCAAAATCTTTTAAATTTTTTGTTGCATTTTGATATATGGGCCTCTAAGTTATTATTTGCTTCGGGCCTTGCCTTTTCACTGATAGACTCTTTATATACATTTATATATATATATATATATATATATATATATATATATATATATATATATATATATATATATATATATATATATATATATATATATATATATATATATATATATATATATATATATATATATATATATATATATATATATATATATGTTTTAAAAGTTTTGTTCAAAAAGTCGTCCAGAATGATTTTTTTTTTAGATTGAATTATTTATGATTTGACGTTCAGCGTCTCGAAACCTTTTTTTTCCAAATAAAATTCTTTTATATTGTAAACGAAAAGCCCGGCTTACAAATGCGTATAAAAACGGATTTACTGTTGAGTTTGGATAAGTTATGAAGTTAAAAATGTCAAACAATACTCCATTATAACACTTTTTGCAAATCCCATTTACAAACCATTGAGCATTAAGAGGTAACCCAGTAATAAGAAATGCTAGTATTATGCTTGCGATCATGCGCAATGACTTCTTGTGTCTCAGTATTTTCTTTTGCTTAACTATTGAATCGAGTTGTTTTTTTTGATACTCATACGTTTGTTTTAAAGAATTTGTCGAAGGCACAAAGTAGCAGCTAGTTTCCGTAGCATTAGAACAACTTACGGGGTTGTACGCAAGATTGCCTATTTCAATATGTTCTTTTGTTTCTTGAGGTCGAAGAGCACATTGAGTTTGGTTAGATTCATAGAGTTGCTTCTTTATTATGTTATACATCTTAAAATACATTGTCAAAACTATACCTAACGGTATAAAATACCCCACAACAGATGTAACAATAAACATGATTGTTTTATAACTGGAAGTGTTGTTAGCTAAAAAGTCTGTGTAGCATTTCTTATCATTAAACTTATCTCGGAATACATACATGTAACTATTGATATATGGAACCCAAATCAAAATACCAAAAAACCATACAACAAACAGTCTAAACATAACTTTTGGAGTTTTTTGCTGTAGCCGGTGTTTCATTGGAGACTTAATTGATAGATAACGATCAAAATTAATTAAGACTATATGATTAATTGAGGTTTGTACGCATACGTAATCAAAAGTCAATGATACATTACACATTACATGGCCTAAAGGCCAATACCTTAATGTCATTTCTAATACATTAACATTCATAGGATATAAGCCTATAAACAAGTCTGTAAAAGCCAATGAAATTATGGGGATGTTTGCAAGATTTCGAATTTTTTTGTTATCGTAGTATGCTAAAATAATAAGTAAGTTTCCAAATACAGTTGTCAAGCTTAAAATTCCAACCCCTAAAAAAATAAGAACAGTTTGTACAATAGGTCTATGATGATTCGAAGTGTGACCACAGCATTCAGAAAAATGAGTGTTATTTAGGAAACTCATATCAAATGATGTTCAGAATTTTTTTTTGGTTAAAGTTTTTTACAATATGCTAACGTAATGAAAAATATTAATAAATAATTAAAAATAATAAATAGTTTTTTAGTTGGATTGCAGAATCACTATTTATAATGCTTGTATTATTGTAATTATATTATCAGTTAAATTAAATTAAAAATTCAATTCTAAAATTTTCTTTTTGTAATTTAATCAATGTGATTTTGTTTTAAAACGCTGTACACACGTTTATAAATATATTCATCTCGGTAGCTATGTGGGAGGGGCTTCTCATATATATATATATATATATATATATATATATATATATATATATATATATATATATATATATATATATATATATATATATATATATATATATATATATATATATATATATATATATATATATATATATATATATATATATATATATATATATATATTTTTTAGCATTATTTTGTTTAAATTTACTATTTATTTTTATAAATAAATAAAATATTTTAAATAATTTCAAAAAAAAAAAAAAAAAAAAAAAAACTAAAGACACAATTTATAACGAGTCGTGTTTTTGGTTTATGATTTAAAGAGTTTATGATTTAAAAATAACTCTTAAAATATAAGATTCAAAGTTAAAGGTAAAATTTTGTAACAGCTTTTTTTTTTAATTTTTAAAAAAGATAACTTTCATACATGGAGCAAATTTTAAATTTGGCTTTGTTTAAGTTTATAAAAAATCAGAATGCTTGCAAAAAAAAAATAATGTGATTGAAACCTGGAAACAACAAAAACACAATAATTTGTTAATAAGTTTTAAAAAAAAAATTATTCAAATTATTTTCAAACTTTACCAACTGTTGCACTTCCTGAAGAGTCAGCTATTGGCAAAATTTGAATTTGAAGAAAGTGTTATATCATTCACAAATTTTTATAAATAATAATAGCTATAATACTATTAAAATATGTTCTTGTTAACAATGTTAAGCAAACTTTAAAATAAGGTGGTGAAATTAAGTGGTTTGTGGAGAGGCTTTATCAAAAAGTTAGATATCTGTGTCATTCTTCAAACAAAATATCTTGAAAAGATACTTTAAAAAAACACCTCTGTAATAGACATAGCTACGGCATAAGATGATTATGTTGTTTTAGAAACAACGGTTATTTAGATTACTTCTTTATCAAGAAAGCAAATATAAACTAATTTAAAAGTAAGTTTAAAAGTTTTGGGTTTTGCTGATTTTGTATTTTTTTTTGCTGCAACTGCTGATTGCTACCGGTGATCTATTAGATTTAATTAAAGTAGGATTTTGTGCACCTAAATCCTTGTGATCCTTTTAAGTTAACAAAAGCAAGAATAATTACAAAAAAAAAACTTAAATCTATCAAAGATACATATTGGCATTTAAATTAATGGAAAGAAAAATTCAGCTAGAGTAGTTCATGATTCAAATGTCCATCACAAATTTGAATGATTCGAATAAATGATGAGCAGTTACATGTAGCTATTTATTAAAGAACAACAAATATATGTGACTATAAAATGTAATAATTAGTATCTTCATTATTTTATCCCAGACCCTATTAACCAAACAAACTGCTAAAAATATTGCTGATAGTGTTGTTTCTGTAACAATACAATCTAATAAAGTTTTATTCTTGAAGGAGATAATATAGTAACTAACACAGACTAGAAACGTGGTGCCATAGCCTTATCTTAAAAAAAATAAATATATATATATATATAAAATAGCCATATCTTGAAAAGCCATTAGATCACAAGTACCACTAAGTATGATTCTTTTAAATAAGTTTTACTTGCTTCATCTAATAGAAGATTAGATGTGTCTTCTGATAGAATTTTTTCCATTCAATTTAACTTTGTTAAATTGAATGGTAAAAAATTTAACTTTGTTGTTGTTTGAGAAAGTATAATTAGTAAGACTATAAAATATCCTGCAAACTATTTAAAGCGGTAAATTTGTTGAGCTGTCATCTTTAGATTTGTTGAGCTGCCATCTTTAGATTTGTTGAGCTGCCATCTTTAGATTTGTTGAGCTGCCATCTAATCTTAGAGAAGTACAGTGAGCCCCTCTAAGTCATGCCAGATTACTTACTACAAGTAAGCGAACAACTTTTATGCGGAGTAGAAAACATGACTAAATAGGAATAAGACGGAATAGGAATAAGAAACAGGATTAAGAAGATTTTTTTTGTTGACAACTGAAATCCATTTAATATGACAATATGGGAGATAAACCCACTTTTCACTGGGGAGTAACCGTGTTACTTTTATTTTTAAATTTCTCAATTTTCTTAATTTCAAAAACAAAACAACGAAGTGTTAATATTTATTAATGGCAACTTTTTTGATCACTAGATTGTTTAAATCTTATCAAGAATTGACAACATATGCGGGATAATGCCCAATCATAACTTTAAAGCAAGTATTTAATAATAAAAAACAAAGTTTATAAAATTTTGAGTTACTTTTCTTATTCTGTTTACAATTTTGCTTAAATTTTTTTTATATATATATATAAATAAAATATGAGTTTGCTCCCTAGCGCACACTTTCTCAGTTAAGAGTTTTATGAAAACACTCTTAAAAAAATTATTGCTTAAAATAATTGTCTCCCTGCATCCTGTTATTAGTCTGCTTTGCGCGTCATCATAATATATTGATCTTATTGTTATCATGTAATAATGCAGAAGGCCACAAGTTTGCAGTTGACCATGTTTTAAAACAATGGGCTATTGGCATCCTTGGAAATAGATAAATCAATGCAAGAGCTAGTTGTTTGAGAAAATAATAATTACAAGAACCTGTTTTTGCTTGTTTACTTACTAAAGATAAGTTGTTATTACTAAGATTGACACCTTTGTAACTTCTGTTAAAATTTATACTCAAAATTCATGTCACCTGATTTAAAAAATACTATGTGTTAAAATAGTGGTTTTGCGTTTGTTCCCTCAATCAGTGGCACATCCAAGGTTGGACAATGCCCAGTGATGTCACTTGTGGATTAAGAAAGAGCAACTGTCCTCTTCAATGTTTTAAACTAAAAACACGGTTTTGAGGACTAAGAAGATTTTTTTTTGTTGACAACTGAAAGCCATTTTGGGAGACAATAATAAGCCATATGGGAGATAATAAGCCATATGGGAGATGCGATGGGGATAATAAAGCCATATGTTTAATAATAAGCCATATGTGAGATAATAAACCATATGGGAGATGCCATGGGGATAATAAAGTCATGGGAATAATAAGCCATATGGGAGATAAGCCCACTTTTCACTGGAGAGTAACCGTATTACTTTTATTTTTAAATTTTTCAATTTTCTTAATTTCAAAAATAAAACAACAAAGTGTTAATATTTATTATTGGCAACTTTTTGATTGCTAGATTGTTGAATTCTCATCAAGAATTGACAATATCTGCGGGGTATTGCCAATTCATATCTTTAAAGCAAGTACTAAATAATAAGTTGAAAAAGAAGGTTATAAACTTTAGGTAGTTATAAATTTAGAACACTAAAGTATTATATAATAAATCAAGTTTGAAATTTGTTGGTTAGTATAAATTTAGTTAAAGACTTTAATAATATTAAAGTCAGTAAATTATTGCTCTAATGTTTGGGGATGGGGAGAATAAGTTTTAGGGTTTTTTTTGTTTCTAGGCTCCAATCACAGCACCATTTTGCAAAGCATTCGCATTTATTACTAGCATAAATATACCAAAGTTTAAAATTAGATCCATGTCTAAAACCTTATCTTTCTGAAACATTAGAAAAAGCAACTGCGAAAAGTGGCGGTGTGTTACTTTCAATTCGGTTGTAGCAATCCTTATGTTTCATATTCTATAGGAATGGTTAGTAAATTCTTTTTATCACTAATACGCTTTATATAAAAAAAACGAAAAGCCCCAAAGTAGCTTTTTATTTTGTCATTACAATTCAACAACCTTAAAAGACAAAATGCCGACCTTTAACTGACCAAAATGACATAATAAAATGCCTTTTTTATAAATAGGAATAATTTATTCATAATATTAGAAGATATGAATGTGTGGTTTAAAAACTTGAGAAAATTTTGAAAATATTTAAAGTTTTAAATAGTACGCGTTTTAAATAGTACGCGAGAAGATCATAATTAAAAAAACAAAGTTATTGTAACTTTGCAAATATTTTCATAACTTTTTCCGAGTTTTTTCTAAATTTCATTACTTTTGAAATAAACAGTATTTTTTATTGAGAAACTCTTAATTTCAGTGAAACAGGGCAGCAATACCATTTTATGGTGTTGGCAAAAAGATGGGAAAAATTTTAAACATTTATATGCTTTTATTTATGTCAAATAAAGGTATTATGCAAAAGATTACGATGGTTGGAGACCAAGAACCAAAAAAACACACAATTTTTTTTTTTTTTATTCTCCAAACGTAAAAGCAACAAGTTTTTTTTTTCTTTTTTTTTTTTGAATTTTTTTTTTTTACTCTTCTTAACTAAATTTATACTGATTGTTAGTTTAAAATTTTATAAATAAGTATATGTTTAAAAATCATAACTATGTATGTTTGATTCCCCTCTAATAGAGGTTTATAAATTTTCTGTTGTTATAAATTTCTTTCAAAAAAATAACAAACGTTTACACTAATTTTTAAAAATTTTTAAAGGTTTATTTCAAAGACATCAATTACCGCAACCTTTAGCAAATCACCTTTATTTGACATAAATATAAACATTTAAATGTTTAAAGATCTTGAACGGGATAAAACGGTATTCCGCCTATAAGTGCGGGTAACACTATATTTTGTTAGTCTCGATTTAATTTTTTATTTTTATTTATTATGTTATTAACATGCTGTTCAATGTTTTAAGTATTCAAATACGTCGAATTAAAAAAAAAAAAAAAACGGTTTAAGATTTTTTGCAACGTAATTTAATATTTTTGGTAACACTTTTGCATAGATTAGCCCAGTAAGGCAACTCTGACCAAAAAAT